AAGCTCAACATCAAAAAAACTAAGATCATGGCATCCGGCCCCATCACTCCTTGGCAAATAGAAGGGGAAGTCGTGGAAGTAGTGACAGACTTCATGTTCCTGGGATCCCAGATCACCGCAGACTGTGACAGCAGCCATGAAATTAAAAGATTTCCTTGGGAGGAAAGTGATGGCGAACCTAAACAGCATGATAAAAAGTAGAGACATCACCCTGCCAACAAAAGTCCGCATGGTCAAAGCAATGGTATTCCCAGTAGTCATGTATGGCTGTGAGAGTTGGACTATAAGGAAGGCCGAGCGCCGAAGAATAGATTCTTTTGAACTATGGTGCTGGAGGAGACTCTTGAGAGTCCCTTGGACTGCAAGAAGAACAAATCAGTCAATCCTCAAAGAAATCAACCCTGACTGTTCCCTGGAAGGCCAGATAATGAAACTGAAGCTCAAATACTTTGGCCACCAAATGAGAAGGGAGCACTCCCTGGAGAAGACCCTGATGCTGGGAAAGATTGAAGGTCAAAGAAGACGGGAACGGCAAAGGATGAGATGGTTAGACAGTGTCATCGATGCAACGAACATGAAATTGAGCCAACTTCAGAGGACGGCGGAAGACAGGAGGGCCTGGCGGGAGATGATCCATGGGGTCGTGAAGAGTCAGACTCGATTGTGCGACTGAACAACAACTACAAATAAGTCTTGTAACTATCTGAGATGTTGTATCCTTTCCAGTTTTCCGTGCTTTTATAGTTTTTTCAGTTCCTCCAGTGGCTCTTTCTGCTTCTCGTTGATCCTTCTCTGTGTTTTCTGCTTCTTCCTCAGTTTCCAAATCTTCACCATGTGTTCTTAAGAACTCTTCTGCTTTAAAAATTAAGTTGATTTTATATCTTTTTTCTTTGTAAATGAGAGAAATGCCTTCTGGAAGTAGCCATCTATATGGAATTCCATTCTTTCTAAGAGTGCTTGTCAGGTCCATGTAATCTCTTCTCTCTCACTCTCCATGGAATTTCCTTTTAAATTTTGATTTCAATTTCTTCTATTTGTAGAGGTGTTGCTTTCAGAATTTCATCTCTTATTGATCTTTTGTGAAAACTAACATGAACTTCTCTTGGCAGTTTATTTCTCCTTGCTTATGCAGAGTTCATTCTATATGCAACATCAATTTCGTTATCGAGTTCATCTGTAATACCTGCCTCCATGTATTCCGCCAGTATTTGTGTTTTTTCAAATTTCAATTCCTCATCTTGTTTTTCAGGAATATTTTGAAATCTTAAAATATATGCTGCTTTTTCCAGCTCTAGTTTAATGAGAGCTTCTTCCATGGAATTTTGCTTTTTTCCCTAATGTTTCTACTTTGAATTGCATCTTTCCAGATTTGTCTTCTATTTGGTTAACAGTTTTAGCCAAGGAAGAAATTTCTTAAGAATTTTCTTTAAGCTGTTTTTGTACTTCTGTCATTTGATGTATCATTTGCTGTGCAAGTGTGTCTACTTAAATTTACATGGGATTGACAGCTGCTGATACAGCCTCTTGTATAAGATTTTGTAGTTCCTTTGCTGAAATCTGTGCCAAGCTGGCAGCCACCGACTTAGCTTGGCCAGGAGAAGGGCCAGTAGGAGGTTTACTTTTTTATCCGTCATGTTATTAACTGTGTTGTTATGTTTTGAATTACTTTAAACTAACACCCTTTAAAATATACACGAGTCATAATATTCAGACCAGAGAATCTCTTAATATTTACAAACACCCTCCCAGACAACACCTTTAAATTTGAACAACCTTCTCAGTATAAATACACAAAGGATTATCAACAGTTTAGGAACAGCTTGTACTTTAGTAGGAACAACATATAAAACCATAACAATTCCCAATACATGTATCCTCTCCAGAAGTGATGTTTAGAAAGTGAAAGTAAGTTCCAGTCAGTTTATAAACTTCTCTTTTCTTCTTTCTTCAAAACATATAAAACATAAAATCTTTCTCTTTAATTCATATTCTAAATGCAAAGTTAGAAGAAATTGTAATCCATTAAGGTATCTTCTTATGGATCCATAGTATAACCAAATTGTAATTCCAACAGGGGTTTTAAAATGGGGAGTCTGAGCCAAATGTTCAAATATCCAAAATTATAATCCACAGCGTCCCAAATCATAAGAACATAAGAGACGCCAATGTTGGATCAGGCCAAAGGCCCATCCAGTCCAACACTCTGTATCACACAGTGGCCAGAAATACCAGGTGCCATCAGGAGGTCCACCAGTGGGGCCAGGACTTTAGAAGCCCTCCCACTGTTGACCCCCCCAAGCACCAAGAAGACAGAGCATCACTTGCCCCAGAGTCCCTATCTATACCTTGTGGCTAATAGCCCCTGATGGCCCTCTGCTGCATATACTTATCTAATTCCCTTTTGAAGCCATCCATGCTTGTAGCCTGTGGCAGTGAATTCCATGTGTTAATTACTTTTTGGGTGAAGAAGGACTTCCTTTTATCCATTCTAACCTGACTGCTCAGCAATTTCATGGAGTGCCCACGAGTTCTTGTATTGTGAGAAAAGGAGAAAAGGACCTCTTTCTCTACCTGCTCTTTCCCATGCATAATCTTATAAACCTCAATCATGTCACCCCTAACTGGGATGTGAAACAAAACTTAATACGTTTAGATCAATATTAAGTCAAATGATGTTATCTTTAGATTGTAACGATAAGAGATTGACATAGTTGATGATTTGAAGTAATTTGGAGCAGGGGTGGAAGCATTGCGGGAAGCCACCGGAGGGAGGGGAGGAGCTGGGAATGGGGTAGACAACTGATAGAATGAAATGATTTAATTTTACATGTTGTATTCCTGAGAAAATAAAATTGTTTACCAAAAAAAAAAATCATGTCACCCCTCAGTCGTTGTTTCTCCAAGCTAAAGAGCCCTAAGCA